AGCGTAAGTCAGGACTGCACTTGATCTCGACCAGCGGCCAGAACTGGTGCACCTCCATACCGGCCTCCTCCTGGGTCTGATGGTTGAACTGGTTCGGCATGTAAGTCATGTTGTAACCGATGGACTTGCACAACGGGATCGTAATCTCCTGACACTTGCGACGATTGTCTCCGGAATAGATGACACTCGACGAGGAAGAGGAGGATGAGGAGGAGGTCGGGGAGCGAGCTTCCACAGCAGACACAAACGCCGTCATCATCAGCACCACCGGCATCAGGACCTTCAACGCCGCTGAGAGCATCGTTGGTGCTGGCGTTGAGGAGGGGGTGAAGAAGGATCTCTTCGCTGCTCCGTAAACACTGAAATAAATAAATCACACGTTACTACATTACATGACATCATCAACGTCATCGAGTGTCAAACATTCGTAAATATTGTCGCGCGCGACCTCCCCTCCCCAATTGATCATCGGCGTGATCGCACGTGATCGTCGGAGGTTGACTACAGCGAGGACGGCCGCCATCACTCCCTAAATCATCGGACCGTCGGTCAGTCCATTGGCCACCGTCCGTCAGAGCTATTCATCGAAGACGAGCTCGCTGTTGTGGCCAATGAAATGAGAGAAAAGCAAAACACGGGGTCATAACAGGAGATGAGCCGCAGTTCCTAGTTATTGACGTGGTGCTTACTTTGAACTTTGGGTGGTCACGAGGTCGGAAGGCCTTCCGTTCCTAGTTGGAGAGGAAGTACACGAGTCTCGCGTCCAGAATCAAATCGCATCGATTACGAAATGACACGTTATCAAAGACCACATATCGATCACTGGAAAAGATCGCCGTTGCCGGCTGCCGGCTCCGTGACTCGAGGGTCGACAACGAATAGAGACGAATAGAGAGATTAGTGATTTTAACGAACAGCTAATGATACTCTGAAAGAGGTCAGAGTTCAAAATCGAAAGCTTCGCGGCCGAGTGGATGAGGTCATCTCTGTGATTGATCTTTATGGATGCCACGTTTCCTCACAAATTAACACTTCGAAGAGGGCAAATTCGATTCTCTTGTCCCTCAATTTTTCCTCTCCCGACCTTTGTCTGTTTGGTCTTCAGACGGAACGACAAAACGTGGTCAACCGCAGTCAATGACGTACGCAGAGGCAGAGGCAGAGGCAGAAGAGGTGGTCGCCGCCGCGTCACAGCAGACGGCAGTCGATAGAGAGTCGTCGCGCTGTCGAACAACGTGCCTATATAATCTTCGACGGATTCTGCCAAGTTCTTAATCGATTCAACACGCAAATTAACAGCTCTAAGAGGATTAGTGGTGATTTATCGACCAACCGAACGACGATGAGCCTCGCGCGATTACGCGCGATTTGGTCGACGCTGGCCGACCGCGCTGGCCGAACGTCGGGACAGTCGCCCCTCAGCCGGACAGGAAGATACGCCGGTTTCTGGCAAGTTGCCAAGAGGAATTTGGCCCCGGATTTTCTGCTCTCTTACAAAGACACGTCATCTGTTGGCGATCGAGGCTTCGCTCTTCCAACGAGGAAATTCGTCGTTTTCATCCTCGGGTCCTCGGAGGGAGGCAATCGTTGGTCCTGGGATAAACAGATTTAGTCATCTGCCATCGACAACACCTGTCCGGTCATCAAACAAACGCTCGTTCGATTTTTAGTTCTACTTCGACGGAGGACGGATGGCCAACAAGAACAACGGCTGCCAGCGACGCCCGTTTCGTGCTGCGTGTGGAACTGCCAGTGCCTCCCGCCCATCGTCGCCTCCCGTATGAAACTTACGCCTGTCTATCAGCGTGCAACGATACAGTGCATCATAAACAATAAATTAATGTATACGTCAGTAAACAATATGATAATGGTAGGCAGATGAAGTGGGACACACAAAGGACCTTTCTGGCACATCTCGGATGAGCATGTTATGCAACGGACATCGCGATGACGATCACAACTCGCGTTTGTGTGTGTATGTGTGTGTCGGGGGGGGAGGGAAGAGGTGTGGGATCATCGTCGCCCGTTCGACGGTCCACCCGTCGGTGTAACCTCATTTTGGAGGAGAGGCACCACGGTCCCGGTGTCGCGTCGCGTTCGCCGTCCGGGTGATGGGTGTGAGGCTGTCACATGGTGCAACCAGTTTCGCCGACTCGACGTGCCGGCTGTCGATCGGCCATCTGGTTCTAGAAGAAGCACGTCAGTCGCGATGACGATCAAGACTTCTTTCGATTCATACCAATTTTCGCGTGTCACTTCTAATTCTGTCAAACGCTCGATGTTCGGCTCCATTCCGCGCGGACGCGGACGTGGACGTGGTGAACGTCATCCAGCACTCAGGGAACAAGCGACATCCGTTCGGTTCCGTTCCGTTCAATTCCTTGTGTC